ATGGGGCAAACGTATAAGCCCAGTGTACTCCCATGGCCTCCAACAACTTCCATCTCAGGGAATTCCCGAGCTAGAAGAGATGTCTGTAACAGCTCTCAGTGGATTTTTCTTCCATTATTTGTATAGTCACATTTTAAACCTAAAACCTGTTCCTACCAGCGAAAAGAAAATGTATGGTTTTATACGGACGAGCACCTGCGATGCATTTTATCAAAGCCATTACTCGCATTCGTATCAAATCAAATCTGGTTTTATTCTTGGATGTTTCCCTGAGGGCAGCTATGAAGCTCTTCGCGTTTTCAGTTTGACCTTTCTCAGGTGTCAGGAACTCGGTTTTTTCCTTCTTTGAACCATGGGAATTGTAGTCTTTGCACTTAGGGCTTAATTTCTTTGTGAACTACATTTCCCAGAAAACTCCTCTTCCGGCCGGACACCCTGTCCTTCCGCGGGACGGCGAGCAGCATTATGAAAGGTACGTTCTCAGGGCATTATTGTTCTCCGAATCACTCTTATCTCGTTAGGTGTGTTCGGTTCGGCTGTTACCCGCTCCCCCCCCGGTCATTATTACAGCAAGAGCGATCCGGATGACGTAGGCGTCCCGCCGAATCTCTGGTCTGTAACCGTTTGTAGAAAACGGTTTATCTTCTGTCCTCAGTTTGTCTCACCTCTTTCCGCGGAGCATCTTGGATGCGCGTTAAAAACAAACTCTAGCCTCGGATCTCGAGAGGTACGTTTAAAGGCTTTTCTCTCACGTACAGTAATTGTTATTTTTCAATCTGAGCACTCTAGTTTTAAAAAGCAGCTTTGCATTTTACAGGAAATATTCTGTCCTTTCTAAGTTTCCCTCCTACGCTGTCCTACCTCTGCGCTCCAAGCAGCTCTCAAACGTACCTGGTATTTTTGCTGCTGGGCCTGCTGTTGCCTTCCCTCTCTTGTGGGCCAACCCATCTTACATCTCCATTTCATTCCCCATCAAAACATTTCCTTCTGAGAGATCTTTTGACGATAAGGGTCAGGAATAGAGAATTTTCATCAGTTAAAGCAATTTAAACGCTGTCAAACTGGCTTTGGGGAGCATCATGACAGAAGTTATTCTCAACGCAAATTACTGTTTATTGGGAGACTTTGTCGCTTCTAATTAATTCATGCAGAAAATTAAACCAACACAACTGCTAAACAACAAAACAAGGCAAAAATCATTGTGAACAGAATCCACTGCCTAGATTTTAAAAATAACTCAGGACTATGGAGGAAGTCCAGCCTTCCCTGTAATTCAACTGATGATGAAGCAAAGCCTTGAGAACTGCAGATTAACTGAGACAAATCTACTCTTTGCCACTAACATCAATTTAGCATCGTGCTGCTTACAGCTGAACACCCAAACTTTAAATGAATTTAAATATTGCTCCCTCTACTGTAAGGACTGGTACTTGAAGGGAACCAGGAACTTGAGGCAAAGCAGTTCAGATGCAGCAGGAGTCTAAAAACCACCCAGGCACTGAGGCAGAGCTCATCGAAAGTTACAAGTAAACTCACCTCTCGAATACCTCTGACTTTCTCAGGGCTGCCACAGGTCTCACAGGCACTGCAAGCTTCCTATAGGCACCATTTATGAAACCACTCACATGCCTTAACCATTTGACAACTAACAACCTGCACAGAGCCCTTCCCCAAACCACTGTCTGTAACTCCTGAAACGGATCTGCTCCAGGAGCTGAGGACTCCCAGTGAGACCCAGCCCCTCAGGTGTCCTCCCAGTAATTTCTCATGGTGAGGGCAGAAGTGGGAGCGGACATGAGTCTGTGTCCAGGTGACCGACATTACCAAGCAAGCTTTAAGCACCAGACTGTCTGGAGCCTGTTACAATCACTCTTTAGAAATCATCTCCTTTACCAGTAATTAAAGTCCTTTCTCCATCTTCCAGATCTCATACAAGCCCCCTTGCTAAGGGAGATGGTGAGAGGGAGAAATACCAAACAGTCCATTCTCGGTACTGTTTCTTTCAAAACTTATTGTACTTCGTATACAAAACCATAGAGAGGCCCAGAAAAAAATAGTTTTAAAATAGTGAAATGGAGAAGGGAGAACTACAGACTGCTAGAAAGACCAAACAAAATCAAGGTCCAAACCACTCCCATCACAGCAGGTCCTGCACACAATTCCAGGCTACTTATCAGCAAAGCTATCCTGCCCGCCCCCAACAGCACATGCCGTTCCTCCCTGAAAGCAGGACATCCCTCCCATTGCGACCTGCCAGGCAGTTGTTTCTGCCCCACACATCTGGGTGATCCTTCTTTCTCAGCAAAACCCCCTGCTCCTGCTGGAGAAGCAAAGCAGTTCTCCTCTGCCTCTCCACTGACTCGGGGGAGGTGGCACCCACAAAGGAGGAGGTGCCAGAGGTATTTGGGCAGTGTACTAATCGTCTTCAGTCCCCTTTCAAGGCCTTTAGAAAAAAACAGGAGTAACTCCAGTCAAGGCCTTTGTCCTGAAAGAGCAACATTTCAAGGTTGTTTTCTCTCCCTTCCCACAACATGGACAAAGGATGGGGTAAGTAGAAAGGACTGATTTGGAGCAGACAATGTTAGAGCAAGCAGAGCAAGGGTCTCTTCTGGGGAGGAACCAGACACACCAGTGGTACAGCGTCTCTGGGGTGGGGCGCTTGGCCTCTCTATCATTTCTTCTCTGCCTTGTTGCACATACCTGGAGAAGACTCTTCATGCTCGGGTCTTTCTGGGCTCTTTAGGACTCCTCTCAGGCAGCCATCCTTCACACCAGAATAGGAGAGCAGGAATCCTTTGTCAGGTGTGCTTTGTCCTTGTACCTTGAGCAGTCTTTGGTGTTGCCCTCTGTGAAACAGACATACAAACACTGTCCTCAGACAGTGGGCTTTACTTAACATTTCCAAAATAATTTGTTTCTTTACTAAAAAGAAAAATGAGCAAAGAATACTTATTAGTATCATTTTTCCAGAGAATCTCAAGAAAATGGAATTAAGGACACGCTGTTTGCTTTCTTTTACCTGCCATGTGTTCTGTTCTTGGCTTTTAGCAGAACATGTTCTCTGCCAGGAAGTTGTCGGGAGTTTGCAGAACCATCAGATTTCATCATTTCAGATCCCATTCTGTATCCAGGACCTCTCCAAACTTGACTTTTGTGCCAGACTGTCTTCCCCCAGATCCCATGGCAGTAGAGGAGCTGCAGCACTTTGTTTCCAACTCCAAGAGGCTGTTTGTAATGACTGGAGCAGGAATCTCAACTGAATCGGGGATCCCAGATTACCGCTCCGAAGGTGTTGGGCTCTATGCCAGGACAGACAGACGGCCCATCCAGCACGCTGAGTTTGTTCGTAGTGCCAGTGCCCGGCAGCGGTACTGGGCAAGGAACTTTGTGGGCTGGCCCCAGTTCTCCTCCCACCAGCCAAACACAGGACACTTGGTACTAAGAGACTGGGAGAAGCTGGGGAAGCTGCACTGGCTGGTGACCCAGAACGTGGATGCCCTTCACACCAAAGCTGGGAGCCAGCGCATGACAGAATTGCACGGCTGCACGCACAGGTACTCTCTGTCGGCACAGCAAGGGTGGTTAATCCTCTGGTCTCTCGTTCAGGATGACCGACAAGCAGGTGCCCTGTTACCTGCTGAGAAGAGGCAAAACGTCGATGCTGTGTTCCTGGAGATGACGCGCTCAAAGGTGGTGTTGGGCTGGGGTGGAGAAAAAGATGACAAAACAGTGCTGTTCACAGCACAGTGTTTAAGAAACACGAACACCACTTTTTGGAGCGTTATTTGGATCATTTCCCTTGGAGCCTGCATCAGTCAGAATTTCCCCTTTCCTTGCTACAGCAAACGTCCTCTTAGTGAAGAGGACAAGGGAATCCTGAGGATGCAAGGATTTTTCAGGGCTAAGCAGAGAGCATAGTGCCAGAAATGCACAGGGTGAGCGGAGTTTCCAGATGAAAAAGGACAGCCTAAACTGGGAGAGAGGATGCGTGGCAGGGTTCAAGTGCTTCCTCTAAGGCATTCCTACAAAGCAACAATCAGAGGTAGAAAGACAGCTCCTTGACCTGTACTATTTGGTAAATAAATGTGGATAATGACAACAGACCTTCCAGGCCTTCTAAGGAACAAGTTACAGACTCCAGATCTTCAGCTGACATGAAACTCCCCATTAAGACTTTGCTCTGAATTTCAGGGTTTTCTGCCTGGCCTGTGGAGACCAAATCTCACGCTTTGAGCTTCAGGAGCACTTTGAAGCCCTGAATCCTACTTGGAAAGCTGAAGCATTTGGTGTAGCTCCGGATGGGGATGTGTTCCTGACAGATGAGCAGGTGCGTAATTTCCAAGTCCCAGCCTGCCGTAAATGTGGTGGAATCCTGAAGCCCGACGTGACGTTCTTTGGAGACACAGTGAGCCAGGAAAAAGTGAAGTTTGTGCACCAGCGCCTGGCGGAATCAGACTCCATGCTGGTGGCAGGATCTTCTATGCAAGTAAGTAGGTCTTCCTCCCACATTGCATTCCTATTTCCATGCTACTCTGCCTGCAACAATCCTTGGTCGCACAATTTAGGACTACTAATTGCCTCTTCAGAGCTTCTCTGTATTTTATTCTTACTGTAGTTGGAATCTGGCTTCACAGTTGGCCTCTCTGGGCTTCCCTGTCACTCTGTTGCCAGTCTACTTCATGGTGCTATAAATATTTGGACATTCACACATTCGGACCTCTCTCTGCCACTTCCCCCATCACTACATTGTGGGTTCACAATTGGCCATAAAGCCAAGATAGCTGATAAAATTCAGTCCTGCAGAGATCACCACCCCACATTTTTTTGCTTGAATTTCTTAGCCTTTAGCAGCTTTCTAGGCCTTATGGCACACTGTGCAAAATATCAGATTTTAGGACCTCTATTTCCTAATTAAATTCTCAAGAAGAGAGCAGAAATATCTGCTTGCAGCTTAGGATTCTCCTTTGTATCACAACGTGTTTTCTCCATTAGCCTCTTATCTCTACATTAAAGCAGTTTAGAAACCGCTGTTGTTTGGAATAGAGTGTGTATAAGAGAAATTTTTCCAGGAACAAGTTCTATTACACTAAAAAAACCTACTCTAACACCTCCCAGAATGAGATAAAAACCAAGGCTGCCTGATTGTGATTCTCTTGGCTTCAGGATACTGGAGACAAATTCCTTGAGCTTGCGCTGCTTAAGCTTATAATCCTTTGTACAGGAATGATTGAAATGCTTTAGGTTCATTCTTGTACTACCTAAGCTGGGCCATGTGAGAACCATCAAAGTAGAGGCATTTAAGAACCTACGATAAGTAATAAAAAACACTGCAGAGATTTACTAAAAGACAAGGGCATTTCCCTTCAATGTACTATGAAGTTTCCATTTCAATCCAACTGCAAATCCTTCACTGACAGAGGTTAAGAGCTGTTCTTTTCTGTGCACTCCTGAATGAAGAAATTTCCTACCTGAATTAAGTGCAGTTGCCTAACGCAGCATGTGCGTATTACAGCTCCTTTTCTCACTGCCAACAGCAACTATTTTGCTTTCCTTACTTCATTCTGTAGCTCTTCTTTTGCCTAATCTGCCAGTAATTTTGCCTTCTGGTGTTTCTGCAGGTATACTCTGGGTACAGGTTTGCTCTCGCTGCCCGGGACAAGCAGCTGCCAATTGCAATCCTTAACATTGGGCCCACAAGGTTAGATCACTTCGCGTCCTTAAAACTGAATTCTCGCTGTGGAGAGCTGCTGCCTTTGATTGTTGCATGTGAGCCAACAAGCTGAGCTTCAGTAGCTATCAGGAGTAGAATTATTTCTACAAGGTGAGTACCTTCCCTGGTCAGTCACCTTACAGGAGGAGAAGATGGGTTCTCATCAAATGCTGAGACTGAGATGTGCTGACTGAAAATATGTTCCCACAACGTGCACCAAAATGTGGCTGTAAATTTTCACCTGTAACTGGTATGCTCTGATGGGCCATGATACTGTTTCCCATGATCATAAACAAAAAGCATGCTCAGTGCTAACACACCCAGAAAATTGGGTAAGAGTAGCCAGAAGACCTGGCAGTGTTGAGTTCCAATCCATTTGTCAGTGTGAGAAAACTGCAGAGGATCAGCTGCACATTCAGAGAACCCGACCAACACTCCTGCCTTTGCAACTGACAATTCAAAAGCCGGGTCTGATGGGATTGATCCAGCTAATCCTAATCAAAACACTGCTGTTTAAAATAATCAATTTCATCTATAAAGTAGCTTCTTCCTTCCACTTCCACAGGACTCATCATCTCAAAAGGGGAAAATCTCAATCCGAGGCAGCTGTGAGATCTGGTGCATGGCCGCTGCTGACACCAGGAGAGGGCAGCAAGCTTCCCATGTGTCAGCCGGACCAGTTTTCTCCATTGAAGCCATCTCCACTGAGCAGGAAACGGGATGATGAAGAAAGTACTTTTCTACCTCACCCTGCCATTGTAAACAGTGCCTTTTCATTCACTAGGACAGGATGATCAGACTGCCATACCTGAGAACAAAACACCTTTCTTATCATTGTCCCCAGAGAAGAACAAGGGACAGGGATTTTGACTGAGTAACTTGAGGCTATAGCACAGGAGGGCGATGTGGAAAACCACAGGATCTGCTGGAGGATCCAATACCACTAGCAGGCAACTGTGGAGTGTGCAAAGAGAAAGGATGCAAGAGGAACTGCAGTTGTCACTTTATTAAAAAAAAAAAGGTTCAAAATAGAAGCTGAACAAGAATACTGCTCTTGTAAGAGACTATTTGGAAGCACAGACTATAAGGCTGACATCTTCTAGCAAGGAGGGGAAGCCAGCATTTCTCTCAGCTGTCACCTGACAAGCTAAACTGCTTACTGTCTGAATCCTTTAAAAATTATATATCATTGACATGCCAGAGGAGTTACTTTAAGCTAATCTGACCAGCACTGCTTTCAGTGTGGCCACTACATTTTCCAGGATGCATTTTTTTGAAGATGTTATTTAATTAATGAATAGCTAAGTAATGAATTAAAACTGTTTACAAGACTGACACTGTTTGCATTGTAATTTCCTCTCCCTCCTATGATTTATTTAAGTACAGTCTCAATAGCCAGTTTAGATTCGTTCTTTCCATTGCAAAAATGCAGGATGTAATTATTAACAGCTGATTAATTAAGAGAGAAATACAATTAAATCTGTACAATAGGTCTCCCTCAGGAGGTAATCTCAAGCTATTAATAGATGTAATTTTCCATACTCCTAACAGGAGATCCATCATTACTGGGTAACTATTTTTTGTTGATCCTTAGGGTGGTAATGGAAGACATACTAAACCATGTATGGTGTAAAAGACAGAATCTTGCCCAGACTAGAAGACTAAATTTGCAATCCAACCTTCTGCATGAATCTATTGCTCCCCTTCTGACTATGAGGGAGATTAATTGTTGGGGTCTTCCAAATGCCCCAGTCCTACTGTCCACGTCACACGTCCTGTACTAATATTTTGACAAGGACTGTCACAAGCAGTTGGAAGCAAGGATGCCAGAGTCATCTGCTGAAAGGTCAAGTAGCAAAGCAAGGATGACTGACCACGTGATGCAAAGTTCTTTTTTGCTTAGTTGTTGATTCAAATCCATGCCAGGGAGGAGCAAGTAAAGCACAGAATCTAAGGGATACTTAGGCACCCAATTTCTGCAGAATGTAGAGGAAATTAAGATACTTAACATGTTTCACATTAATTATCTTAGTATAGCCATGTTTAACATGGCTATAATGGGTCAGAGGAGAGATGGCTTCACTTAGGAGCCAAGTGGGGTAAGTTCAGGACCTCTGCGCGCATTCTGGTCTCATTAATGGATCCCGCTTTCCAGTGAGTTAGGTATCTACTGTTTGGTAGTGAAGAAAGCTCACAGATGTCACTCCATCTTTAGCACAGTACACCTGTCCTGCTAACCAAAGCTTTTGCAGAAATCATTGCTAAGGCATAACAAGGTCTCCACACACAGCCAGGGAGCTTCACAGAGTGTTTATTTGCATAGGGTTTTCCATGTAAGAAGAGACATTTATGCCTCCTTAGCAGAGGAACTGGGACTGGGTTTCTCACTATCCGTGTCATCTTCTGCATCACCTTGAAACTTGCATGACACGGATGTGTGAGAAACAGAGGCTACAGCTTTAGTGCCAGTAGAGCCAGCATTTTGAGAAGGTGTGGGAGCATGCCAAGAAGTCTAAAACAAGAAAACATTTCCAGTGAGGACTTGGCATTGGCAATGCAACAGGTAACTAAACCTCCCACATCTATGCTTGCCTCTTCTCCAGTTTAGCAGCTGAGCCTGTGGGAGAGGAGTCAGGGTGTCTCTTCAGCATCACTGACAAGTAATGTTACCCTGACCCTCCACTAATTACACAATATATTTTTAAGTCACTAGGACCATGACTTACAGTAAACGAACATTTACATTAAATTTACAGTAATAAACCATGCACAGGATGTTAATGAGCAAATATACAAGTTTATGAGGCTGAGATGAAGGAGTTCCTTTTTTTTTCTCTGCTAAGCTGATCCAGCACTACTAAAATTTACTTCTCAGAGCAGGATCAGAGCACTTCACCTCTTAACATGTTCCCCAAGGCACCACTGAGAAGTAAATTCACTCAACTGAGAAATGTCAGAGAACGCCAGAAGTTCCTACACCAAAAGCCAGATCTGCATCACTGTTAATGCTGACTGACACCTTCCCCTGTCACTCCTTGGGGACTATGTGTGTGGGAAGATGCAATGCAGAGAGATAACAGCTATCAGAAGATAGCTGTTATATTATATTATAATTATATAATTATATTATATTATACAGCAGATAGCTAGCAAAGACCAATCCTGAGAAGTTCGTGTTTCTCAGCTTACTGATGTAGTTACCAGCCTGGAGGGAGACACTTCCTACTACTTCCTACTACAGAAACTTCCAGGGTTGAGCACTATAGGACACAAATCAGCCATGCTGTGGGAAAACAATAAACTCAGCAAAAGAACTGACCTAGTGTTCAGCTTTATTCTCTCAGCCTACAGACAATTTGCAAGGGAGGAGGGTTTTAAGAGGGGGAGAAATGTCTTTCCTAACAGACTAAACAAAAGGACAGTAGTCTTTGTGTCACTGGCTGAAACCAATAAAAAAAAAGAGTGCTACAGAGCCTGAGCAGTGTTCTCTTCCCCCATCACCAGGAAGGAAATGTGGATCCTTTCTGTCTACCTTTCTGCTTTAAGCCAGCCTTATCCTCCACATGACTGAATCCTTTCCTGTCTTTTCTGGCTCACTGTTGTTGGACCAGTCCACCAGTATTTCAGATCTGGGCTTGAAGTTGTAGTTCTGTCCATCTACAAGTGGCAAAAGTATACATCAGACAACAACGCAAGGACAGGTGTTGTGGGGGTTTTTACTGTGAAATTAGCTGAATCAACAGTTTGTGCTCTTCCTTTCTCTTACAACTGTTCCTACTAGGACAAGCTCCTCAGGTTTGGATAGAGGAGTTGAGAGCACCTTATAATGGATTTTTCTGCTGCTCTCCTGAAAGTGGGGTTGGAGTTACCCAAAGTAAATAAAAGCTACTTTCTATTTGGCAAATCTTGTCTTTCTTTCTGGGCAAATTCTCAGAGCAAACTTTGTAACCAAGTCCTGCAGCCTGAGAGAGAGATTTCACTTACTGTGCTCCAGAGCAGGCAGCACAGACTGCGGATGGCCCAGAGGACTTGTGCCTGCCGGGTATGGCGTAAGCACATACTTACAGTCAGATTGCTGCTCCTGAGTAACATGCTTATTCCTGACTTCTGGAAAAGGACCAAAGACCCTGGGCATGGTGAACTTGGGAGGTTCAGGAGCCTTGGAGTGAAGGCGACTAGATCTACCTTCTAGAGCATGCTGCTTCCTCCGTGACTGCCTTGGATGTTGCCCTTTCCCAGACTTCGCAGTTGCGAAAAAAAAAAAAAAAAATTTCAAACCAGTGCCAACTTACTGGTTTCCTCAGCCTATTAATTCTAAACCTGGGGCTTGGGCAGGACAGATGGAGTCTTCCTCTCACATAACCTGTCCTAGGGCAGCCCCAGGTAAGCAGCAACTGAAAGCAACAGTTCTAAGAGGCTGTTGGAAGTCAATGGGAAAGGAATGCGGAGGGTCTCGGCCAAATGCCTGAAGTCAGTTTCTTATCACTACACCCAGCCATCCTCTATGGTGTCTCAGTGCAGGGTTTTCGAGATCCAAATTGAACTTGGCCTCAGCAATTGTTTAGATTACAGAAAAGATAACAGTGGGGAGAGAGTAAATTTATGATAGAGGACTTTGCCTCTCCAGTCCTACTGGTCTGGCCATTTTCATCACTGATAGATACTGTCGAAATGTCTTTCAGATAGCAAATTCCTCCTGGCTGATGCTTTCTTTCTGTAGGGACAGGAAATTCTGGTACATGGGCTGTTAAACAGCTTTGATTTGTATGGTTGCAGCCTTAAAAGAGGTGAAAGATGCGTTTGGAGTAACACCATGAAGGAGCCCATTAATCCTTTTCCTCCTATCATATTGGTTCTGTGAGCTTTTCTAACTGCAAGGGTCCCCACCAGGGGCTGCACAGCTGAGTGCTCTGTCACCGATGCACCCAAGTCCTGAGAGATACAGAAAGTCATGCAGAGGACACAGATGGACAATAAGAAATTCATACCCGCTCACCCTGACAGTACAATTAGGCAAGCAGGCAACAATTACCAAGGCTAAAAATAAGAGAAGAGAAAAAAATAAAAGAAAAAAAAAGCATTTTGTGATAGTGGGCCTCACAGTATAGGACTGTGACTTTCACACACCACAGGCGAGCAGTTTTGAGTGAATGACTTAAGTGCTGCTTGCCCTTGCTGAGAGCCAGACAACACATGCAGCTTTGGAGTATGCAAATCAGAAATGGTGCCTTTTTGCTAATAAAAGAGGATTTCTGGGACATTTTGCTGTCCCTTTATCAGAAGACTTTTGCAAAAAAAGAAATGTCTAGAAAGATTTAGACACATGCTGCATCCAGATTTCCAGTGTGATCCCAAATCTTCCCATTGGCAAGGGCTGAGGAGAAGAAAATCCAACTAGACTCTGTAATTCTAAAGACTGAATATCTGCAACAAGCCAATCTGTGCCCCAGAATTGACTGTCTGACACAAACTGCTGCTGGTGGGAGGGCAGCAGTGCCTGGCTCCTCACTCAAGCAGGTGGCATACAACAAAAATCAGATCATGACCCTCCCCTATTTAGCACTTGGCATGACAGAGCTTAATTGGGTTGAACAATCAGCTCCTGTGTCGTGCACAGAACTGACCACAGCTGCAGTGAGGCTCCTCGTCTCTCCGTGCACCTACTGCTTCTACAGTAAAGCAGCTGTGCCTGCAGGTAAGGAAAGCCAGAGGATCCTCAGGAAAGGGAGGCTATCACACAAGCGGGATTAAGACTGCCTTTTCGCTAAAACGAGCCCCTTTGTCGCTTGGGGAGA